TAGGTGTATGGATATTATCCTGTCACAGCATTGTACTTCAGGATAGGTCTTGAAACATTCTTTGTGACAATGAATGCCATACTTCTTCAATTTGTCGTTCCCAGCATAGTAGATCATACAGTTGTCTGATTCAAAATGGCCAAAACCGGTCCATTTCAGCTCACTAACGCCTAGGATACAGATCTTTATGTGTTCCATTTCATTTTTGACAACTTACAATCTTCCTAGATTCATACTTCATACATTCCATGTTCCAATTATTAATGGATAGTTGCAGCTGTTTTTTCTTAAGCTGTGCCACATCAGCAAAAGGAAGTCCTGAAAGCTTTACTCCATCCACATCATTAAGGTTGGCTATACTCTGAGGAGGCAGCTCTTCCCTAGTCATATTTTGAGTGTCTTCTGACATGAGGGATCATCCTCTTGCACTATATCAGACAATGTTTCAGGGCTATTTTTCAGTAATATATCAGACAGTGTTTCACTGGTATTCACAAGGTTTTCACTGGTCAATTCTTTGAGAAGTGGATGGCCTCTTCCTTCTCCCAGTCTGTCTTAGGCTGGAAGCTCCAATGAAACCTGTCCACCATGGCTAACCCTGTTGGCACTTGAAACACTGGTAACACAGCCTCTAGCCTCACAGCAACACACAAGCCACTACAGGATGACAAACTGACCAATGAGTTTGTCTCCCTTAGTTGTTTCAAACTGCTCCGCTCCTGCTTTCTGGCCTTCCCTACAAGTTTCAGCCCTCCAAAAAGCCATCCACCACTGCCTCTCGGCCATCCCTATCATTTCTGGCCCTCCAAAGAGCCATCTGCCCTTGGACAGTGTGGATAATAACAAATTATGGATAACACCGTGAAGAATGGGAATTCCAAAACACTTAATTGTGCTCATGAAAAACCTGTACATAGACTGAGAAACTGTTGTTTGAATAGAATAAAGGAATACTGCCTGATTTAAAATCAGGAAAGGTATGTGTCAGGGTTGTATAGTTTCACCATATTTATTCAATCTGTACGCTGAGCAAATAATCCGAGAAGCAGGACTATATGATGAAGAACATGGCAATGAGACTGAAGGAAAACTCTTAACAACCTGCAATACACACACGATACAACCTTGCTTGCTGAAAGGGAAGATGACTTGAAGCACTTACTGATGAAGATCAAAGACTACAGCTTTTAGTATGGATTACACATCAACGTAAAGAAAATAGAAATCCTCACAACTGGACCAGTAAGTAACATCTTGATAAATGGAGAAAAGACTGAAGCTGTCAGGAATTTCATTTTACTTAGATCCACAATCAACACCCATGGAAGCCAGCAGTCAAGAAATCAAATGATTTGGTACAGCATTGGGCAACCATTCTGCAAAAGACCTCTTTAAAGTGTTAAAGAGCAAAGATGTCACTTTGAAGACTATGATGCACCTGACCCACGTCATGGTATTTTCAACCACCTCATATGCATACGAAAGCTGGACAATGCATAAGAGAAGACTACAGAAGAGCTGATGCATTTGAATTATGGTGTTGGCAAGGAGTACTGAATATACCATGGATAGCCAGAAGAACAAACAAATCTGTATTAGGTGAAGTACACCTGGAATGTTCCCTAAAAGTGAGGGTGGCAAGATTTCACCTTTTGTACTTTGGTCATGTTATCAGAAGGGACTAGTCCCAGGAGGACATCATGCTTGGTAAAGTTTAAAAAAAAAAACCTCACTGCTGTTGAGTTGTTTCTGACTCCTACTTGGGTTTCTAAGGTGGTATCTCTAAGGAAGTAGGTTGCCCAATCTTCCTTCTAAGGAGTGGCTGGTAGGTTTGAACCACCAGCCTTCTGGTTAGTAGTCAAATGCCTTAGGCACTATACCACCAGAGCTCCCTGGTAAAGTAAAGGGTCAGTGAAAAAGAGGAAGACCCTCAGCAAGATGGACTGACACAGTGGCTGCAACAATAGACTTGAGCACAGCAATGACTGCGAAGATTGAGCAGGACCAGACCATGTTCCTGTGTGTTGTACATACAGTCTCTATGAGTCAGAACCAACTGGGCAACACCTAACAGTAACACACAGTAGACAAGTGTTAATTTGGGTGATGGGAAAGGCAATACACAATATAGGTGAAGTTACCACAACACAATTGTGTTAGGCTGGGTTCTCAAGAGAAGCAAAACCAGTAAAGTTTATATATACATATAGAGAAAGAGAAATATACCTTAGGAAAATGGCTCACACATTTATAGAAACTGCTGAGTCCCAAGTTCTTGGATCAAAAGCCAAGCTGGAGGCATTTTCTGACTCACGCAGCTGCAGGTGCTGACGAGCTCAAGGTTGGCAGGCAGCATACCAACTGTTGACTCTAACGAATGAAGAATCCAAGATCTCCAGGCCGAATGGTGAATTGTTCTCTCACAGACAGTTGTAGGCAGCACAACAGGATCCCAATCCACAGAAGACTGTCTCTTTTCCCAGTATGTCCTTAAATATATTGGAAGCAGGCCACACCCCAAGGGAAACTCCCCCTCAATGAACTGGCTGCTCAATGGTGGAACCACTGAGACTATGGCCCCTAGCTGCCCTTCAGGTCTGGAATTGAACCCACAACTGTGGTTTCCAGCCAAACAAAGTACAGGCATGTGAGTTAAACATTTACCTCAAGTAGACACACACCCTGGAGAGAACAATCATGGGAGAAGGAAGGGCTGCTTATGCACAGGGAGATAGCTCAGGGTGCAGAAGAGTATGAAGGGATGGACACTGGGAGGAGGTAACTATGGGGAGAAGTGGGAGGGGAGCTGTTGCATTGTAAATTTTGGTCAATGACATGAGACAAAGTATATGTGAACTGCTGTATGAAAAGTGAATTTACTTTGTAAATCTTCACCCAAATCAAAATAAAAATTAAAAAAAAAAAATGAATTGGCTGCTCAAAACATATATATCTGATCCCATCATGGGAATAACCCACATCACAATTGCTTAAACTACATAGAATTATGGTTCAGCCAAGTTGACACACAGCTCCAACTATCACAACAATCAAGGCAAAAGAAGACAGAGAGGTAGGCAAGAATAAAAAGAAGTAATAATAAATTCTCTAACATACACAATCCTGCAACAACAGTAACAACAAACAGTAATTTATGAATGGACACAAAGGTAGATATATGTATGCTAAATAGATGTACAAGGTTGTATGGGAGTATACTCATAGGTACATATAGGTATGGTTATGGATATTTCTACATACATATTTGTAAGTGCTGCATGTATATCCATATATATAAGAGAGCACATAGGGGAAAAAGTTATGGAATCTTCTTAGACATAATCAAACACCCCTTGGGACTGAGCTAGTAGGCTTGAAGGCTAAGGACCATGGTCTCAGGGGGCATCTAGGTCAAAGGACAGAACATAGATCATAAAGATAATGTTCTACATCCTAATTTTGTGAGTACAGCCTGAGGACTTAAAGCTTGTGAGTGGCCATCAAAGATTAAACGATTGGTCTCTTCCCATCTGGAACAAAGGAGAACAAAGAAAACCAAAGACTGAAGGAAGAAATTAGTCCAAAGGATTTACAGCCTACATGAAGCACAGTCTCCTCTAACTTAAGACCAGAAAAACTAGATGGTGCTTGGCTACCACCACTGACAACTCTGACCAAGAACACAATAAAAGGTTCTGGTTAGAGTAGGTGAAAATGTAGAACAAAATTCAAATCCATAAGAAAGAACAGACTTACTAGTCTGACAGAGGCTGGAGGAAGCCCTGAGATCATTGACTTAAGACAACCTTCTAACCTGGAACCCAGAGAACACCTTTCAGCCAAATAATAATAGAAATAATAAACAATACCCAGGAAGAACATGCTCCTTAGAACAACTAACTATAAGAGACCAAAAAGGTAACATCTGCCCAAAAGCAAAGATGAGAAGGTAGGGATGGGCAGGGAAACCAGATGAATGGAAACAAGGAATTCAAGGTAGAAATGCAGAGTGTTGACACATTGCTGGGATCACAACCAATGACATGGAACAATTTGTGTATAAACTATTTAATGGAAAACTAATTTGCTGTAAAAACTTTGACCTAAAGCACAATAACATGTTCGAAAAAAAAAAAAACAAAGATCACTGAAGTGTGAATAATACAATTAAACTTTTGGTAAAATTTCAGACTTATTCTTATGTTCCAGGCATTCATTCTATGATGGTGAAAATCTCCTAAAAATCAATTTTAGCACTTGGCCAAAATGTGTATCAGGTACACTGTCAGCCTGACCTAGCCGCCTTCTCAGCCGCTATCAGGTTTCTTATCCCTCTGAACTTGTATTAGAAGCCAGAACCCCAAAACTTCTGCAAACTATGAATTGAAAACAACTAGAAACCCTGCTTCACAGGGTTTTCAAGGCTGTGATGTTCAAAAGCAGATCACCAGACCTGTCTTCTGAGGTGCCTCTGGGCGGATTCACATCACCAACCCTTTTAATAGTAGGTGAGCACTTAACTGTTTGCATCACCCAGGGAGTCCTAATCAAATCATTCTTGTTAGGTGCCGTCACATTGGCTCTGACTCACAGTGACCCTGTGTACAACAGAACGAAACACTGCCTGGTTGTGCACCATCCTCACAATCCTTGCTATACCTGAGCCCATCATTGCAGGCACTGTGTGAATCCATCTCGTTGAGGGCCTTCCCCTTTTTTTGCTGACCTGCCCCTTTACCAAGCATGATATCCTTCTTCAGGGAATGGTCTCTTTTGACAACATGACCAAAGTAAGTGAAATGAATTTTAGCCATTCTCACTTCTAAAGAACATTACATCATTTGTATTAAGATTTCACGCTCCCCAGATACTTCTCTCTTCTGAATATGGTCAATACCAAAGAAAAGGTAGCAGTTCAATTTGCCTGGGATACTGGAGGCTGGGTTTGGGCTTGGATTTCTACTAACTAGGTCCCCAACTGAAAGAAAGTCCATACTTACCGCAAGCTCTTCTGTTCTATCTAGAAACCTAGAAGAAGCACAGGGAACAGGGCATTTTATCTGTTTTTCTGTTACAGAATAACCTCACAAAATAAGACAATTACTCGAGGAAAAACACAATTCAAACTCATTTCCCTCCATAATCAAATAAACCCTTCTCAAACTTTCACCACCAGCAGCGCCTTAAACAAACACAGTGGATCAATGATCATTTCCCTGATCATTTATGACTAAGTGAAAGGCAAGGAGAAAGTGCTGCAGGGCACTAACAACTTTATGAGGTCAGCAGGCCTGTTAGAAAGGCTCAGGGCCTCCACAAAACCTACTCTAGTCCATAGCAATCTTTGAAAGATTAAAACGCTCTTCTGTGGCAATGCAAATGTTCTATATTGTTCCTGTTGTTTTCATATACCATGTACAATGTGCTTTATTTTCCCAAAAGGCAGTAAGCTCTGGAGCACAAGAACTCCTGTCTTCTGATTCCTCCTTACTCTAAATGGACTAACATTGTTAACAGCACTGCCTTGGCATAGACATGATGCCTAATAATGGCTTATTGACTGGGAAAGGAGAGAGGTATAGATAGGCAGAGGAAAATAAGAAAACATTCTGCCTTGATGAACATGTCTTCTTTTGTACATCCTTGATAACCATCTGTAATCTTGACCTTGACCAGGTAATCTGCTTTTCCCACCTGAGTTTTTGGGCAGCTCATCAGTATGTTGGAGTCACTGGATAAAGTCTTACGTTGGGACACACTTCTTCCTAAACAGAAGCTCCCTACTTTGACAATGAAGGACACAACATACATACATTTTGATACTCTAGAAGAGCTGATTCACAGGCAGTCAACCCATAAGAATGTCAGTCTAAAGGGCTCTAACAGTCTAGTCATCAGGGGAAGGAAATAATCCCCAGAGACTGCAATCAGACAGGGAGGAATACCATGATAGGAGAGCCCCCCTCCCAGCAGCAGGTATGCCTCCCCCTGACCCATTAGAATCCTACATAGTCTCATGGGCCCAACTCAAATCCTAATTGCTTCCATAAGGCTTTCCTTGGGTATCCTTCCTGAAAATTGTATTTTCTTCCTCTGCATTCCCATTGTCTTTTTCACTGGCATCACGGGACCAATTAATAAAAGATACTTTCCCAGCCACAGAGGAGGGAAAAGAAAATATACCTTTATTTTAAGTCTTTTATAAGAAAATGCTTAATAAACATTAATACTGCATACCCGCATTATGTTAAGCGTTTTGTACATGCCAACTCATTTGTTCTTCCTAGCAAACCCATGAGGTAGGCATCATCATCTCCATTTTACATATGCAGAAAATGATGCTTGGAGAGGTTGGGTACTTTCCTCCAGGTCATTCTATGAACTAACAGGTGGGACCAGTACTCAACTCAGGTGTGCTGGCTTCCATAGCCTAGATCTTAATCACCCTGCTATGCTGTCACCTTATCACAAGCTGTTGAATATTGTTAGTTAGCCCAACATGTTTCAATAGCTTGTATTTTAAGCTTTTCCAGAAAAAGGTCAGTAGCTTCTATTTTTTTTTTTTTGTATTCCCCTCCGTGCCCCCCAATGAGTGCTTTCATTAAGTACCTAATAAACTCTAGACCACATGGTCTGTTCTCACCTGAAGAGGTCTAAAAGCAGCTTGTGATCCCCTATTTCTTTAAGGAAGTGAATGAGATGTCTCAGGGCAACCTGTCGCACCTCCAGCTCTCGGAAGAGGATCTCTGGAAGGCAGGAAGAAGTAGTTAAGTGAAGAATGTGCAAAACCTATTACTCAAGTGTGAAACTGGTCTTCCTTCTCCAAACATTATCTCCTCAAAGCCTAGCTGAAACTAATAAAGAATGTTTTTTATGGTACCCATCTCTATGATTCAATCCACCATCAATACATCATGGTCCAAGGTAACTCTTAGCCACTGAGAGAGCTTTTCAGTTCTCACCAACCCAAGCACCATCAGGAAGCACTTGGCATGGACTCTGATTTCCCCAAACTAACAAAGCCACCTGTCTGTCCAATAAACAGAGGGGGCTGTGTAGCCAATATAGGTAACCGCCCTGAAGGATGAACTGCTGCCCTCAGAGATGGGATGTGTGTTCTGAAATCTCCGGCCACCTCAGCTGTCTTTGAAGCAGATCTTATGCTGGGGAGTTCGGGTCTGAAAGCCACACTGCCATTCTCCTTTCACATGTGGCAGAGACCTTGCTGACTGAAGATTTCCCTCAAAGCTTCTCACCTTTGCTCAGTGTCCTCTTCAGGAAGATCAGAACCTAGAAGAAAAGACAGTAAAGAATGAATTACTCTTTGCAACCTTTCAACACAAAGCTTTCCTCTAAGTACCTGGTGTCTAAAAATGAGGCCAGCAACTCAGCAGAAATCTTTACAGGTACAGACAACAGACTTTCCTGTATGATGGAATCTGGAAGTGCTCTGTTTCTCGGGGGTCCACAATCTCATGTCCCACACTGAGAGACAGGGTATGTGGTCACCTTCTTCTGAAATAGACTGCTCTCACATCTCTCCTCCCTTAATTATTTTTTACAAGATAGAGGAGCCAGCTTCTTGGTTATAATCAGAGTTCCACACACCATACATGGCCTGCCAATTGAGCCCTGGAACAGGCATTGCTGAGAATCCTAAACCTCAAGAAGAAAAACCTAGGATCTTTACTTAACACTTGATCCAAAACATTAAAGTCTATTTTGATTGTACTTTCTGAAACTAATGAAAACAGTTAACAACTAACCAACCAACCAACTCACTGCAGTAATGACATTTCCATCATGCATGCTCACTGCTTCTTCCAGGAGTTGTAACTTGTCCTGTAAGGAGCGGAATCTTTCTAGTGAGCAGACCTGGTGAGTAAGAACAGAGTTAGTGAGTAAAAGAGAAGACAGGTGCCTGTATTTCTCTGTCACTTGATACTAAGGAATGGGCAACAATGAAAGGCAATGTCCTTGAGGATGGCTCCTTTTTTGTTAATGCTGTGGCCCAAGGTTCCTACTACACCCTCTCCAGTTCAGCCTTATACTCTAAAGGACGGTAATATTTTGAGGAAGACTTGACTAAGTCACCAACTAGAGAGGTCACTTGTTCTGTTTTAAAAATCAGGTATAACGAGGTAGAATTTAGATACAATAAAATCTGTCCTTTCAAAGTGTACAGTTCAGTAAGTTTTGACAAATGTATACATGTACATAACCACCACCACAATCAAGATTAAAAACAATTAACCACCCCAGAAAGTTCCCTTGTACACTTTGAAGTCAATGCCCTCCTTCCATCTCCCTCCCCTGGCAACCAATGATCTGTTTTCAGTCACCGTAGTTTTGCCTGTTCTATTTCATGAAACAGAACCATACAATATGGATTCTTTTCTTTTCTGTCTGGCTTCTTTCACTCAGCACCCTGTTTCTGAGATGAATCTGTGGTATCAGTAGTCTGTTCCTTTTATTGCTGGGTGGTTTCCTGTGGTAGGGATATGCCAAAATTTATTTCTCCATTTACCTGCTGATGGGCATCTGGACTGTCTCCATGTCGGGGGCTATTAGGAATAAAAGCTTCTATGAACATTTGTGTACAAGTCTTTGTAGGGACATGTTTTCATTTTTCTTAGACTGTAAATGCCTCGCAGTGAAAATTCTCGTTGTGTGTCATGTTTTAACTTGGTAAGAAATCATGAGACTATTTTCCAAAGTAGTTTTACCTTTTTCACGACCACCAACCATGTATGAGTTCTGGTTCCTCCACTTCCTCCCAACACTTAGTATAATCAGTCTTTTTAAGTTTGCCATTCTAGAGGCCAGACAATGGTATCTCATGGTTTTAATTCACATTTTTAAAATAGCTAATGATGCTGAACATCTTTTCAAGTGCTTATTGGCCATCGGCATATCTTCTTTTGTGATGTGCCTAGCTAAATATTTTGGCAACTTTTTATTAGGTCTAACTTATTAGACAATAAGTTTTTGATAAGACAATAAGTGATTTGCAAGGAAATTTTTTTTTAAATTTTTTATTGTGATTTGGGTGAAAGTTTACAGAGCAAACCAGTTTTCCATTCAATAATTCACATTTCATGTCACTGATTGCAATTTCCTCAACATAACATTACTCCTCCAACATCCTCCTCGTGTTTCTCCTTTCTGTTCCTCCATCTCTCGTAACCCTTCCTGCCTTCTGAACTTTGTTCTTGGGCAAATGCTTCCCTTTTGATCTCGAGTGGTTGATGGTTCTCAGGCATGTCTACCTTCTACCAAGAGTTATTGCCCACCTTGTAGACCCGTCTATTGTTTGACTGAAAATTCAGTTATGGGAGTGAGTTCAGTTCCAGATCTAAAGGGTGACCAAGGGCAAGAGTCTCAGGGGTTCTACCAGTCTTTATCTGATGACTAGTGAGCCTAGTCTTATTTTTCCTTTTTTTATAATTTTGAGTATGCTCCACATTTTTCTCCCACTCTATACAGGACTTCTAATGTGATTCTTTTCAGAGTAGTTGGTAGTGGTAGCCAGAAGTCATGGAGGTTGAGCTTCACATGGTCCATTAGTCTTTTGGACTAATTGTTTCCACATGTCTTTGATATTCTTCACTCTTCTTTGCTCCAGATGGGAAGAAACCAATAGTTGCATCTTAGATGGCTGCTCCCAAGCTTTAAGACCCCAGTTACTACTCACCAAAATAGGGTACAGAACATTGTCTTTGTGGACTATATTGTGCCAACTGACCTTTATAAGGAATCCTTTATGTATTCTGGATTGGTGGTGGTGGTGGTGGGTGTCATAGAGTTGATTCTGACTCACAATAACCCATGTGACAGAGCAGATCTGCCCCATAGGGTTTTCTAAGTTATAGTCTTTATGGTAGCAGATTGCCAGGGGTTTGAACCACCAACCTTTTGGTTAGCAGCCAAGTGCTTAACCATTGTGCTACCAGAGTTCCTTTATATACTCTAGATAAAAGTTCTTTATAAAATATGTGTTTTACAAATATTTTTTCCCAGCTATGGTTGGTTTTTCATGTTTTTAATACTGCTTTCAAAGAACAAAGTTTTTATTTTTGATTAAATCTATTTTATCGATTTTTTTCTTTTATGGTACATGTTTTTTGTGTCCTATATTTATTTCTGCAAGCTTTACAGTTTTAGCACTTAGTTATATCTAGGTCTATAATCCATGTTTTGCCTATGATGTCAATTCTTCCAAAATTGATCTATAGATTCAAGACAATCCTAATCAAAATCCTAGTGGCTTTTTTGTAGACACTGACAAACTGATAGTAAAATCTACATGGAAATGCAAAGCATTTAGAATCACCAGAACGAGTTTGGGAGAGAAGAACAAAGTTGAAGTACTTATATTGCCTGACTTCAAGATTTACTACAAAGCTACAATAATCAAGACAGAGTGGTACTGGAATAAGGATAGATAAATAAAGCAATGAAACAGAAGAATCCAGAAATAGATACACACTTACATGGTCACCTGGTCTTAGACAAAGACACCAAGGTAATTCCATAAGAAAAGGTTAAGCCCCTCCAAAAGTAGTGTTAGAACAATTGGAGGTCTATCTGGGAAAAGAATTAACCTCAACCCTTACCTCACATCATATATAAAAGTCAATTTGCAAGTGATCATAGACCTAAACATAAAAGGTCCTTCACTCTTAAATGTACTTTCCTCTCTCATTCATCACTCTTTCCCCATGACTCCATTAAAGCAACACTAAACCCTGGGGACTTTTGATCTTAGTAGGTTCATTTTGCTCCTGAAAACCACTTCATTTAACTAATGAAGAGAGAACTCAAGAAATCCTCCCTGTGGGAACAAGTTGCCTACGTTCCCAAATCCCACATGAATACTATCCCTTACCTTCCCTTTCCGGAGGCGTTGCACTGTGTCACTGAGGCTCCAGTCATTACTGTAATCCTAAAATATTAGTAACACATGAATCGCAGGAAGTTAAGGGATCAGAGTATCAATGGACCATCTCCTTACCTCAAACTCATAGTCTTAATCCCTAAGGGGGAAATATTTTGTGGGAGGGAATGGGTGAGGAAAGAAAACGAAAAAGTGGGATGGCCTTATTCTGAGTTTCTGAAGGAAGTAGAATAGGCAGGAGGAAATGGATCAAAGAAGGAATGAAGCATCTTGTTAAACAACCCAGTAACCCTATGCCTACTGATTTCAACTCTTAGATACAATTAGAAATACATTTTGGAGACTCCAATCAATGACTCTGGCTAACAGAAAGAGGGATGTTCTTTTGAGACATGTTATTTTTCTAGACCTTTGAATACAGTTTCTTGCAAAAAATCATTTTTTAATATATGCCTCATGGTAATATGAGCTTCACCAAACTTCTAGACCACAGTAAAGATCACTGAGTTTCAAAGTACAGCCTTCAAAAGGCAAAAAAAAGTGTGCTAGAACTGAGTCAGAAAATAGAGATTTTGAGTCCAAGTTTCATAATTCACTAGCTGTAAGACGTGAGGCAAGTGCTAATGTTTAGAAATCCAGCTTTCTTATCAATAAACAGGTGTAAAAATAATAACAACTCTATTTACCTCAAAGAGGTGGGAAGATTAAACAAGATAATGTAAGTCAAGTCATTTTATAATATGTAAAATGTCACACCTGTGTAAGCTATAACTCACCCTATACTCTCCTTTGGGCCTCCCCAGTTCTGGAGCATAGCTTTTGGCAGGTGGGTCCGACAGAGCTAAAAACAAAACACAAAAACAAAGCTAGGCAGCTGGTTCAGAAGGGCACCACGAGTCTTGCTTCTTGTCAGACCTTTCCTCTAGTATTTCCTTCTCAAACACAATTTTTTGAAAGAAATTCGGCACTTCTGAGGCATCTTTTTGGCTCAAAAACAAAAACAAAAGGAGCTCTGGTGGCATACTGGATAAGGCATTAGACTGCTAACCAGGTCGTCAGTGGTTCAAACCTACCAGCTGCTCTGTGGAAGGAAGATAGAGCAATCTACTTCCATATAGACTGACATCTTTGGAAACCCAATGGTGGTCACTCTGAGTCGAACAGACTTGATGCCAGTGTGTTTTTTTTTTCTCTCCAAGGCATCTTTTTGGTTCAAAGTAGGTCTTAGCTCCTCCCCATAGACAGAATCCCTAGAAGTCAGCCTGTACTGCCCCCACCACCTAAGCCAGATTAGTTTCCACCTCCTTACACAACATTAGAAAATTTCTCTAATAACAATGGTAGATTTAGAACAAAGTTTATCTGACCATCTGATTGCCACCTATCCCTAAGCCTCTCCAGACTATAACCCACATCAGTAGTATTTCCCACAGCAATCAAGAGAAGAGGGTCAAATGCTTACCATCAGAAAGGGACTGGAAACTTCCAAGTCTAGTTCTGCCTACAGGTAAAGAACACATGAGGGAAGAGATTAACTGTTCAAGTCAGTGCAATCCAGACTTAGTTATGGACACGTGGTATAGAGCATTATGCAATATAGGAACACAGGGCTTAAAAAAGCTTTTATTCCATTTCAGAAATTTCAAACACCTCTTTAAACAAGTAAGGAACTCTGGTGGTGTAGTGAATAAGGCATGTGGCTGCTAACCAGAAGGTCAGCTGTTCAAATCTACTAGCTGGTCCATGGGAGGAAGATGGGGCAATCTAATTCTGTAAAGACTTACAGCCTCAGAAACCCAGTGGGGGTTGCTATGAGTTGGAATCGACTCGACAGCAGTGAGAAAGTGAGCTTAAAAAAAGCAGGGAAGTATCTTGGTCTAGGCAAATCTCCTCAGTAACCATCAGAGGGTTCATGGCAACTTTGTTGACCATCTTCAAGAAACCCCGTTTAACCCCTCTGAATTTCTCTTACTTGTCTGTCTCCCATCCCCCAAAATTCAGCTCCACTGATAATTCTTTATCTTTCCATAGTCTTTTTCTTCCAAATTAAATGCAAATATAGCCTGAGCATTTTTCTGAAAAAAAAAAACAAAACAAAACAAAAAACCGAAAGGACAGTCCCCTTGTCCTTTAACCATCATCTTTACCTTTAAAAAAGCTGCTCAAGGAGTAGGTAGAAGCAGGTTTGGACAGCTGTGTATAAAAGCTGTTTCGGTTCTTCTGTTCACGTCCCTCATGGGTTGACCCACTATTACTAGTAGTCTCTTTGATGGTCCAAGAAATACCTGCAAGATAGTAAGGACTAAATCAATAATTCTCATCCAAAATAAATAAATAAGATAAAAATAAATCCTTGTCCATGTAGGAGATCCTGCTGGAGAGAATGGGAGAACAATGTGCAACAAAATGCAAAATCATTTTAAAAAAAAGGGGGGGGGGCCCAGGTTTGCTGGTCTGATAAAGCCTGGTGGAACCCCTGAGACATGGCCTCTAGCTGCCCTTTAGGTCTGGAATTGAACCCACTCCTGCGGCTTCCAGCCACACAAAAGATAGGCATGTGAGCTGAACATTTACATTAGGTAGATACACTCCTTGGAGAGATCAAATGTAGGAGAATAGAAGGGCTGTGTATGCACAGGGAGATAGCTCGGGGGGCAGGAGTGCATGGGAGTGAAGGACACAGGGAAGAGATAACTATGGGGAGGAAGTGGGAGGGGAACTGGTGCATTGCGGGAGACTGCAGTCAATGTCATGAGACAAAGTGTATGTGAGCTGCTGTACAGAAAGTGAATTTGCTCTGAAAACTTTCACCCAAATCACAATAAAAATTAAAATAAAATAAAAAATCTTTGACATCCAACATTCCAGTAAACTCTAATAGCTTTTCACTAGAGTCCCTAGTCCTTTGGCCAACATGAGCTCCAAAAACTGGGGCAGGGATAAAGGAGTGAACGAAATAATCAATAGAAAAATGGGCAAAGAACATGAATAAACAGACCATAGGAAATTCAAATGGCTCTTACACATATAAAAAGATACTCAACTTTCTTTTTGAAGTGAGAGCCATGACAAGAACAGATATATGCACACCCATGTTCAT